TAACAAGATTATCAATTTGGGAGGGACTAAAGTTATTATAGGACTCTGTTATATTCAGACATGGCATTGAATTGAACACTGAAGGAATCTCCTCCTTAAATTTAGCTACAGCAGTGAAAGCCCGTCGGATCTTCCAGCTTAGCGCAGGTGAAATTTTCTTAGGTCTACCACTTGACGTTTTTGTCACCTAACCATGAGGATCTTTTAAGAAATTTAAAATGACTGTCTTTCTGCGTCCTTTGTTTTCCACCTCTGACTCCTTTTGTCTCACTGTCTTGACAGAGTGTAGTGTCGTCTATAACAGTCCTGATTGTATAACAAAATGAAAGTTGGCAGTTCCTTCATGCTCCACAGATGAAAGAAAAATCTAATTAAATTCACAGAATAACATAAAAAACAGCAGCAACAAGATAGTGATAATGATATGGTTTCATCTAAATATAAAAAGAAATCCAATGTCCATCCAATATTTTACAGCATTTAAGCACCACACATATTTTGCAAATTTGCAAAGCGATTTTAATGTATGATGTACAGTTTTCTTATAACAGCACGGTTGACCTGGGTCATTTGTTATGCACACAATGTAAATGCAACAACCACAATGTAAATGCAAAAACCCCAATACGAACTCTTGATCTAGAGGGATCTAAAAGCCACATGATAGTTGATATGACTGAGGTCACAATCTGATCTATATCTGATTTGGACCACATATGAAAGTGGTCAAAATCAAAACTGAAATGATCAGAATCTGTACTTTTGGGCCACTACAGTGTGAATGTAGCCTTATGCATTCCTTTATTCAAGGCGCTATGTTGCACCACATTGTCATGTGCAGTTTCAGCTCATCCATAGCAGCCAACAGTGGCGGTTTGACTGGTACAGATACAGAAACAGTGCACTAAAATATGTTTCTGAAAGGAAAGAAATAGGCAATGCAGTAACAAAATCTTGATTCATATTTGATCAGCACCGCCTAGTTTGATGGTTTTTGCCTGTGTGTTGAGCTGGACAGACTCACTGAGAATGTCAATCACAAGGTAGCCAAGCCCTAAAGCATACCCTGCTTTATTGTCTATTTTACTCTAAATGGGGCCATAACAATAAAGTGAACATCATGCTATATGAATATGCTATCAGAGACTTGAAACTATAAATTGAGACCATAATGCCAATGAACCAAGCCAGAAGTACATTAATTTCTATGACTTTTTCGAACAAATGCAGGTTTCATTTCACAGGCCTAGAAGCTCTGCCTAATACTGTTAATGGTGTCATGCCAACTAAAGCAGACAGAGTTTTGGCTGTGGAGGATGTCATTTTGCTGCATCACTATGGTCATACATTAGTTAAAACATAAAACAGCACAATGGATAAACATTCAGAAACATTCAGTTTAACTGGCATTTATTTCAGTAGATCTATCAATTACCTGAGATTCCTAAAACATATACACATATTAACAATGACTATAGCAATGGTTATAGAAATTCTTCTGTTGTCACTAGATGGCAGTGTTGTTAATGATAAACAAGAGGTCCAATCTGTGGTTTAATATTGTTCTTATTTTTCATAGTAGAGACGTCAGGTTTTCAAACTTGGATTAAAAAAAAGCACAAACAAAATTGTTATTCTTCAGGAATGCACATTTCGAGTATATTCATCTTGCAGGCTCACTATCAATTAAAGGCAATGAAAGCCCAGAACAAAATAAAAAATATATATGCACAGAACTAATTTGCAACAGAAAACACATTTCCAATGTAATTCCAACAGAATTACATAATAGAGGAAATCAAGTCACGAGTTGAAAAAATTATACTGAACGTATCAGTATATGTTCACTGACAACATATTTCAGTTGTTCAATCTTGCAATAATATTAACTCATATTGACTACAGCAGTATTCAAAAGTCAGCAGTGACTTGAGACACAAGATTCTGTGTGCCAACCCACCCACTCCCATGCGACTCCACCGCATTACATAAATGTATTGTTTAAAAAAAACTCACTCTCATTGGAACCGGGTCTGAGCAGAAGTGAGTGGGGTTGGAGCTGCACTATCAAAGTCCTGCCCATACATACAGTTGACTCAATTGCAAGCTGGGCTCAGCTGTCAATCATGCCATGAAACCATCTATATAGTTTTTATAACAAACCCCCTTCTTATAACAGGCCCGTAGAAAAGGCCCCAAAAATGTCTCATTCTAAGGTAACCAAATCTCAGCTATTCTTATTTTCAGGTGATTATACACTAATAAAAACATACCTATAAATATTATATTGCATTTCTGTCAATAGATTTGCCTGAGAAGGATTAAAAATACCTTTCTCTATTTTGCAAGGAGCAAGTGCAGAAGTAATATGGGAGAAATGTGATATTTTTTCCTAATGTACAAGGGTCAAATATACAGCAGTAATAGTTGTAATATGTCATACATTAGTAATATGTAGTATTATAATTATAAAAAACAGGATGCAGTTTTCTGATGTTAAACTCAGACAAAGAAAGATATCAAACTGAATCTCAGACGTTCCACATATTAATTCTAGAGGCTTAGGATGACAGGTTATAACTATTTACATAGATTTTGTGTCATTAAAGGCATGCTTGAATCCTTTCCTGTGGAACCAATTAAGAATAGGCTTGAGACGTTCCTTTGATAAAGATTATGGTTAGGGCTGGGCTCAGGTGAGACTGGAACCATCCCTTTGTTAAGCTGCTTTAGGCCTTGACTGCCGGGAGACTTTCCATGATGCACTGAGCTGTTCACATTTATGTCCTAATAAAGCTGCAGTATTAATTTTTATAAAAATAACTTTTTTTCTATTTGCTCCTCCTAGCACTCCTAATGAAAGAAAACAACCAATCAGAGCCAAGAAAGATCTACTATCTTCAAGGCACTAACCTAAAGTGTCTTTCCATATTTCTTGGCTCTCATTGCTTGTATTGTTCGGGGCCAGTGGATTCTTGCAAATGCCATTAGGAGTTTTAAATCATGGTTGTGCCTAGATCTACTTTAACTATTAAAGTTGTTATTGTTACTATTGTTGTTGCTGTGCATCTCTCTCTTTTTTTCTAAATGCTGCGCCACATGTTATCAAATTGATGAAGACTTTTTCTTAATTTGCTGGTGTTTTGTCTATTGGCATGTGTTTGCATGCATTGAGCTATGGGCCATCGTAATCAACAAAGCAACAACAAAGTCTCTAAAACTATTCCTTCTTTCAGCTGTATTGCTATGCCATGATAATTGCTATGCCATGATAATGCCATAATAATGACTCACTGTGATGCAGCCTCTATCAATTGTGTTTAAATACCTAACCACTTACTTATGCAGCTTTCTGTGCTGCCAGAAAGATAAATTAATAGCTTTAAATTCCATGCAGTCAGAATAAAAATGATAGCCACAATTTTATTGATCATGTTTTTAATTAGACATACTGTATAAACATCTAGGGAAACATTCAGCTCTAGTTGAAAAAGAAACGTATGCTACATTCTTGCAATTAATCAATTGCTAATTTTTCAATCTCCCTGATGAGAGTTTTTATATTTTAGATTTCAAACGTTCAACTATTAACTAGAGCTTTGTATGCTACATTCTGGGGAGAGTTCAATGTTAACACCACTCGGATGTAAGTCCAGGTCAAGATGAAAAGAGCTCAGAATTATACCGGGTCAAATGGAAGTGGAGTGACGATCACCTTCCACAGCTCCTGCAGAAATTGATAATAAAGTATATTAATAAAAACCATACTGAACTCCTCTTGGGGAAATTCATTCCCTGATCTGATTAAACTGGGGGTGCCAGATTGCAACAAATACCATATCTTACTTGCTTTAATTACAGATCTCCAAAAAGGTTGTAACTTAAAATAAAATAAAATAAAATAAAAAATCAAAATCTTTTTACAGCACCAACACAAAAACACATCTCATTGTTCATTCTATTGAGCTTTTATTATGTGTAATATATTCTATTAGGGGTTTCAAATTTGAGATATTATACCTCACTGCTTGTTTACAAAGGACCTTTCAGTTGTGGTTTAGAGTCATCCATCTTACGTGTGTTTATAATAGTTTAGATTATAATTATTCATATTATAATAATACAATTTACAAAGCTGAGTAACTAGTCATTTTACTTGCACTTTACATAACACAGCAGCTTCAATCTTCCATCTGCATCTGCATTCACATAGACAATCTCACTGTGATAGATTTAGAGTTGGAGCTGAATTCACGTTTTAGATTAAAGTGAGGTTAGGCTTTAAGATCAAGGCTTGTTTAAAGTTTAGCAATAAATATTGTCCCCATTAGTGTACAATAATCGGTAAGTGTTTCCCTTACCAATTGCTCAATGCGTTCATACAGAAGAAACTGTGCAAAGTTAGAAGGGAGCTGCTCCACGCTGAAGCTGCATCGTCCATCCACCAGGTCATGGAGTTGGGACAGACAGTGTCTGAAATGGTCATAGGCTTCGCAGGAAACATCCATGTGTTGCAGGGTGAAGTTCATCCTTGTAAGACATTTAGATATAGTAGGAAACATGATTACTGCTTGAGCTTGTAACTGAACACTAGTGAAGCTGAATACTGACAGTTATCAATTCACCTGAGGAATACAGAGCTTTATGCCTAACATACATCTACAAGCCCAAAAATAACTAAATAAACTTGCTTCTGTCAAAACTAATTAGCCTACTAATTACTATCAATTATACAAAAGAAGGTGCCCAGATAATATATAGGGGCGGCTGTGGCTCAGAGGCAGAGCGAATGAATGGGGTGAGTGTGGCATG